CAATTTTGAGGGGTTTTGGTGAAGATTAGACTTAGTTTTTGCTGAATTTCAGATTGAAACTCGTCGAAGAAGAAGAAGACATGATACACATTATATTTACGAAATTGTAGTAAAATTGTAGAAAAATTGTATTATGCTGTTTATATATTTTTCTTTTATTTATTTAACTATTGTATGAAAGTTGAACAACATTGTATAAAAATTATATTTAAGTTTTATGATGTTGTAGTTGTATATAACTGAGTAGAAATAATGTATGAAAATTGTAGATAAGTTGTATAATATATAATTAGTTGTATGAAATTTGTTTTTACTATGTAAAATCAGATACAAAATATACAAAAGACATATTGTATAAAATTTGTATTTAAGTTGTATGTTATTGTAGTTGTATTTAACTGAGTAAAAATAATATGTAAAAGTTGTAGATAAGTTGTATAATATATAATGAGATGAGTTTATTTTATGTTTGGTTAAGACAAAATTGTGGTATAACTGATCTCGGAATAATTAATCCCGGAATTGTAGTGTATTTTAGAATAATTAATTTCGAAATAAATAAATATGGGATAACTATAACCAAACAACCCCTAAGAGTGCAGTTTTGGATTATTGCTCATCGCATTCCGTGAAAGGGTCTCTAGTCAAGTAGTGTGATGTGAATGTGACGACAGTAAGTAAGAGGAGATTTGGTTAACTCTAATTATAAAGAAGCAAAGGAGAGTGGGGCGGGTGATGAGCCATGTCAGTTGCAGAGTGTGCAGCCAGCAGGTAGATATTCCGTTTCTAATTGTGATATTCTGTTTCTATGTATTGCTTCGTATCACTATCATCATATCTTGGGGTTTTTTAACGTTTCCAACTTCTTTTTCCTCTTAATCTTTCACTATTCACAGAAAAAAGATGTTTCATTGTTAAACTGTCGAGGGGAATTAAATAAGAATGGGGCGGAAGAAGGTGGAAATAAAGCCAATCAAAGACAAGCTTAAATGAGGACACTAATAATGGATTGAGAGCCTTTTAAGGTGGAATATTTTATAAACAAAACTTGCGTAGGTAGGGTAATTTATTAAACATGAACATCAATAGTGTATAAAAATGAAAAAATCCAAAAAAGAAGGGTATAGCCGTATAGGTGGGCTAAGGTCAGTGGTCAGCGATACAGTAGCTCTCAATTTCTGAAAATGCAGCTCTCTTTCCATTTCCGACATTTTTCTTGTTTTTTTTTTTTTTTTTCTTT